CCGCCACTGTATAAGCCACTATTTTTAATGAGAGTAATATATAATTAAAAATTTTTATATAGACCTGCATATTGTTTTTACGGTCCTGTACAGCCAAGGAAAATTTCCCTCTGGGATAATAAAGTATACTATCTTATCTTATCTTATCTTATCTCCTATCCTTACCCCTCAGACGACAGACACGGTTCAAGTTCTTCAAGAGAGTGGACGCCTACGTGCCGTCATCCCGTGGCGTGAGCCAGAGGTACCAGTGTGTGGCCTGGGGCAGTCTGGGGCAGTCCATCACCAGGAACTACACACTGGAACCTTTCCTCAAGGCCAGGATTGTGGAGGGGGAGTCGTCGCTTGTCAGGGACGGGGACAGGGTGAGTGGGGCACGGTCGTACGCGCTGTTTGTCTGTCTGTTTGTCTGTTTGTTTGTCTGTCTGTTTGTCTGTGTGTCTGTCTATCTGTTTTTCTTTGTCTGTGTGTTTGACTGTCTATCCGCCAGCAACTTGAACAAGAACAAAGAGAACAACATCATCAACAACAACAATATTAACAACAACGTCAACAACAACAACAACAGCAACAACAACATCGTCAACAACAACAACACCAACACCAACACCACCACCACCACCACCACCACAAACAACAACAACATCAACAACAACAACAACAACAACAACAACAACAACAACAACAAGAAATTCACAAACAACGAAAGAAACCCCACCAACTCAGTCTCCCTTTTTTGTCTGTTTCCATGTTCAGATGGCCAATCTGACGTGCACAGTCACCGGTGACCCTATCTCCAACATAACCTTTAACCTGTCGTACAACTTCAAGTACCTCCAAAACCAGCTGCCAGACCAGGTGTACGACCACAACGGCACCACAGTGGCCGTGAAGCAGATCGTCTACGACGACGGGGACGAGTACGGGTCGACCGCGGAGAGCACAGGAGTTCTGTACGACGCAGCTTGTTCTGTCACCCAGAACGTTCTCGGGAGGGAAGAATTTCCCAACACCGAAACGTATTATTACCCCTCGCCTTAACTTTTTAAACTCTTCACCACTGAACACAACACTTGTCATCATAGCTAAGAAATATTGAAACATACAATTACCCTTCACTTTAGCTCTTTCACCTCTTCGCCGTTGAACAAAATGATTGTCTGAAAAAATAAGTTAGCTCTTAAGTATAATTATGAGAAAAAGGATGAAGGGGAGAGGAGTTTACGTTCTACCTGGGTATCTGGTTCTCATTTTCCAAAGAGCAAAACTCTATTAACAGAATATAGTTCGCTCTTCGCTCTTCCGTTTTCTTGGAAAGGAAGACTTTCTAAACATTGAAGCACACCATTACCCTTCGCCTAAACTCTGTAACCTCTTCACTGCTGAAAAAATAACACGCTTGCCATCGAACCTTAGAATATTGAAAAATACGATTACCCTTCGCCTTTACTTTTTAACCTCTTCGCTTCACTATTGACCAAGACAAAACACTTGCCATCTAACCTGAGTAACGTTGAAACATACTATTACCCTTCGCCTTAAGTTTTTAAACCTCTTTATTGTTGAGCGAAACGCTTACGTGTGTCATCCAACCAAAGGGAAGTTGAAACATACCAAATATCATTACCTTTCGCCTTAAGTTTTTAACCCCTTCATTGTTGAACAAAACATTTGTCATCAAACCTTAGTGACCTCTGCGGTGTTAAAGGAAAGAGGAGAAAGGGGAGAGGGCGATACCTTGTACATGGGTATACAATTCACAATTTCCAAAGAGCAGAAGTCTGCTAATATTAGGATTTCGTTGGCTCTACCCAATGTGTGTATCGGGTGGTTTTACTAAGCGTTCACGGCACAGTGGTGGGAGGGGGAAGGACGTAGCGGGCACAAACCGTCGGCCAACCGTTCAAAAGTGCTAACTCAGTCAAATATTTAGATTTTTTTTTGCTTGTTATGCTTTTTTGTTAGGTTGTTTTTTTTGGTAAGTTTTTTTTTTTACATTGAAGTTTCTTATGTTTTGTTTAGTGAGAGATTTACGGCACCCGCAAATGCAGAAGATCATTTGTAATGAGCGCGCTGGATGAAATCAGTTGTTTTTACCGTTGTTCACAGCACGGTCTGGTTCCACTCTGTTCCAATTTCTCAAACTATTAGGTATTAATTGCCTGGGCACACGAAATAGTTCATCAAACATTTAAATCCTAAAAGTTGCAAAAGGCAAGAAAAGATGCACAATGTGGGTACAATGTCTTAAAGAATGTAATCGGGGTCGTTTGTTATTGGGTTTTTTTTTGCCCTCTGTCCTGTACATGGGGGGGGGGGGGGTTGCCCTCTCTCCTGTACATGGGGGGGGGTGCCCTCTCTCCTGTACATGGTTTTGTCTTTATTCAGTTCTTAGTACAGTTGAAGAGCGTGCCGTGCCGACGGTCTGTCAAAGCAGCTGTAGGTCAAAGGTAATAGTATGGCATATTTCCTACCATTATTCCCAAAACACAAACACACATGTGCATATAGGCCTATATAATCATTGTACATATGTTGTTGTCTGCCTTGTTTTGGTTTCAGATAAAGGAAACAGAACTGACAGATCTGTATGATCAATGGAGATGTGTGTTCGTTTTTGTTTTTAAGTGTACTCTATCTATCTATCTATCTATCTATCTATCTATCTATCTATCTATCTATCTATCTATCGATCGATCGATCGATCGATCTCCTCTCTCTGCCCCCCCTCTCTCTCTCTATCTCCTCTCTCTCTCTCTCTCTGTCTCCTCTCTCCCTTTCTCTCTCTCTCTCTGTCTCTCTCTCTATCTCCTCTCTCTCTCTTTCTCTCTCTCTCTCTGTCTCTCTCTCTCTGTCTCCTCTCTCTCTCTCTCTTTCTCTCTCTCTCTCTCTGTCTCTCTCTCTCTGTCTCCTCTCTCTCTCTCTCTTTCTCTCTCTCTCTCTCTATGTGTGTGTGTGTGTGTGTGTGTGTGTGTGTGTGTGTGTGTGTGTGTGTGTGTGTGTGTGTGTGTCTGCCCCATATTTCTATCGTTCGTGCATTTTAAAAAATCTTCAAACTGTCTAAAAATGTTCGTGTTTCTAATCTGATCCTGTTTACGTCCTTGGGTATTGCAGAGTAAGCAGGATATTACATTCCAACAACAATTTCGAAAACTGTCTCGAGGTTCTAGAATATTCCAGAACGTCACAGAGAGTCTTTAATAATGTGTCATGTAGGGTACAGTAACAGCCTGTGCAAACTTCTGTGGTGTAGCTGTTGCGTACTTCACCCTCGCATGCAAAAGACATCATTTCAATTTTGGTGAATTAAAAAAGATCACTGTGTGCGAAATGAAATGTCTCCGCAAAACCCTTAACATCACAAGACGAGACAGGCAGAGAAATGAAAAAGTAAGAGCAGCTATCGGCATTGAGTCCTGCCTGCGTTACATAGAAAGACAGAGGATAAAATGGTTTGGCCACCTGTTACGCATGTCACCTGACCAGCCAGCCTCGAGAGCCTACAACACCAAGCACTCAGGCTATAAAGGAAGAGGAAGGCCACGCAAAAGGTGGATCGAGGGTGTCAAGGAAACCCTGAGAAAACATAACATCACAACTGAAAGAGCTGCGGAGCTGGCCTACCATAGAAAACTGCATCTCCCCTCGACGCTTAACGGTAATAGGATGAAAAAGAAAAGGTAAAAAAATAAAGTACAAAAATAGAGTTGGGGGGGGGGGGGGGGGGTCCTAGTCGAGTATCTCTGACTGTCTGCAGACGTTTTTATCTCCCCCAGTCCGAGTTCGACGTGTCCCGCAGAGTTGTATCCCTCGTCTTTAAACAAGTGCAAAATCGCATATTTGTAACGCTCTGTACAACATTGCTTGATTATTATTGTTGTTATTATTATTATTATTATTATTATTATTATTATTATTGGTATTATTATTATTATTATTATTATTATTATTATTATTATTATCATGATGATGATGATGATGATGATGATGATGATGATGATGATGATGATGATGATGATGATGATGATGATGATGATGATGATGATGATGATGATGACTGCATTGACACAGCACATATCCATGCTCTACAGCAAGCGCCTTCTGATTTATAATTATTATTACCCCTGCCGTCTGTACTAGAACACTCAGAAATACTCCCGGATTCCCGAGAGGCATAATAATACATGTAATTATAATGCAAGCAACCTAAGCCCTCAAATACTAACAGACTGTCAAGACATTTCTTCTCTAAACTCGATCGCTTGCAGATCCGATCCAATGATAGGGAGTCTTGTAAACTCCAAAATGTAACCAGAATACAGAAACACTTTGCTTGGGATCCGAACCCAGGACAACTATACCCTAGATCTCAGAAGAAACAATGGCATCAACAACTTCAGCAGCAGCAGCATCACCATTCAACAGCAGCAGCAACAATAATTTGGACATTTACTTCCCAAAAAAAAGTAATTTTTAAATATCAGAACAACTGACAAAACAGTAGCCAAATTCTCTTTTTTTTCTTAAGTCTCGAAACTGCAAACGTTTAAGTCGAGCGTTAAATTATTCTAATTAAGAAAAAAAATCCGCTACTCGCCACAGAGGGAATCGAACTCACATCTCTTGTTGAATAGACTAACACACAGTGTACCGCAGACTTCAGTACTTTCTCTCTCTAGCACTCATCCCCGCGCCACTCAACAGCAAGCTCTGTCGGTCGAGTCTCAGCGCTTTATAGTCTACTAGTTGGGTTCCCCTTCGATGAAAGGAATGATCGGGGCATTAACATCAACTGAAAGTCATTGGCCTACTATATTTACACTCTACTGGAATGGAGCAATAAATCTTGAGAGAAAAGTGAGCCACGTGTTTCCAAGTTGCCAAATATATAATAGTAATAGATATATAGATCTATTCTCTATTTCGATTTCGTGGCTGTACACTCTATAATTTCAAAAGTGTGGGACCAATGCGCACTGTTAGTGAACGGAAACCTCACTTGTTTACAATGGCGTCTTAGAAGACGGACTTTCCCAAGATTAGACGAAACAAAGCATTTTGGAAAAATCGGGGAAAGCAGTTTTGCGTGGATTTTTTAAAGTTAGGTCCTTGCCACATGGATGTTGTGGACGCCTGCAAAGTTTCAAAGGTGTGGGTTAGGTAATAAGGGAGGAGTTTGTGCACAAAGCCTCTCAAGTCCACTTATATGTAAAGATCTCTAGTCTTTTACACCAGCAGACCTTTAAAAACAGAGAAATGTCGTTCTTGGCTTCCCAGGATGCACGCAGTGCAAGTAGCCGACTTAGCGCTCAAGAACTAAAAATTAAGAAGCAGACATGACCTTAAGCTGTCTATGCAGACACACACACACACACACACACACACACACACACACACACACACACACACAATCACACACGCGCGCGCACACACACACACACGGCGATATTCGAATGACATGAGTAGTGAGCTCACACTCTAGCTCACGCTAAGAAGATTAGACAAAGTATAATTTCCATAAAATAGCACAACTAAATGACCTAAACTATGTCGATGGAGGCGTAAAAACACCCTCATTAAAAAGGGTGAAATCTAGATGAGTGCAAGTACTGTTCACTACAGCGTTTGCTCTTTTCTCATCTCATCTCTTCTCTTCCTTTCCCTTCTCTTCCCTTCCCTTCTCTTCCTTTCTCTTCTCTTCTCTTCTCTTCTCTTCCTTTACCTTCTCTTCCCTTCCCTTCTCTTCCTTTCCCTTCCCTTCTCTTCTCTTCTCTTCTCTTCTCTTCTCTTCTCTTCTCTTCCTTTCCCTTCTCTTCCTTTCCCTTCCCTTCTCTTCTCTTCCTTTCTCTTCTCTTCTCTTCCTTTCTCTTCTCTTCTCTTCCTTTCCCTTCCCTTCTCTTCTCTTCTCTTCTCTTCCCTTCCTTTCCCTTCCCTTCTCTTCTCTTCTCTTCTCTTCCCTTCCCTTCCCTTCCCTTCTCTTCCTTTCTCTTCTCTTCTCTTCCCTTCCCTTCTCTTCCTTTCTCTTCTCTTCTCTTCCTTTCCCTTCTCTTCTCTTCCTTTCCCTTCTCTTCTCTTCCTTTCTCTTCTCTTCTCTTCCCTTCCCCTCTCTTCTCCTCTCTATCCTTCTCTTCTCTTCTCCTCTTTTCCCTTCTCTTGGTACGATTTTGATAGAGCAGATAGAAGATTTGGTTTCAGACCTCATCGACGTAATAACTCAAAACGGCGGAAATGTCAGATATAACTCGGTAATTAGTATTCTTAGGTAGCGAATTCCCCCTGGCGGGTTATGCCAGTAATCAAGCGGAACCTTTCTCTGGCTCTCTGATGTCTAATGAGGGGGGGGGGGGGGTCAGGAGAGGTCTTTACCGAAAAATTAACGTCTTTTTTATAGTCAACGTGCATTGGTCAGGTTGATGGGAGATTCCGATGAAATTGCTCAATCCGTCTGTTCACTGTGACTGATTTCTCTGCCTGGGAACAAAATATTGCGAGCCAGCAGCAGATGCTGACGAGTACTAAGCGAACATTTAGATTTTTTTTCTTTCTTTTTTTATTTGCAGTTTCTTAGTCTATGGTGTTTGTCGCATGTGTTATGAAAAAAAAATAATGTTACAATGTTAAATCTAAATATTGAATAAAATTGATCTGTAAAAAGATGCACAACGTAATACAGTGTTGAAAGAATGAACCGTTGATTTTTTTTTCTTAACTTAGAAACTTTGCTTTCTGGGTTTCGTGCGGTTGAAAAAAATGTCCACGTCATGTCTTCTGGTTTCAAATATCCTTAAGAGAAGCACGCCATAGGCGTCTGTACTGTAGGGGTTACGTGCTTCTTCACCGCATGCACAGGACCTGAGTTCGATTCCCATCTGGGGGGAAAATCTACATTATCGAGTATCTCGGTCTTTCCGCCGGGACGGTGTATCCCTCTCTGTCGTGACTGGCAGCGTAGACGTCTGCCTCCAATAGGATCTCCATTGTTCTGCTGGGCACGTCAACAATTGAGAGGCATCGTGCTGAAATCAGGCGCTCGTCAAAATGATGAAATCAAAGAAATTTTACGTTTTTAATTTTTTTTGGTGCATTTTACCTTTCCGAAAATAAATTAGTTTTAAACTCGCGATTTGAGTAGCCCAGTGTCATATTATTATGTTCCAACGCTGTAGCGCCACTTTTGACGTTTTGCCAACTCCTTGAATTTACAGATTTCTTTTTAGAGGCAAAACGCGTTACAAGAAAATGATTTTATAGCGAACACATTTTGTACAAGATTGTCTTAAAACATGCGTTCAGTAAGCAAAATGTCGCGATTAGAACCTGGAAAAATGACGGACTTGATTTTAAAAGCGATATTACCCCCGCAGTAAACCTTTTAAAATCTGTAGAAACCTCCAACTTTGATGTCTCTATTAGTCTTTATGTCTTTATTAAGGGGGGGGGGGGGGGGGCTACACCCCCAAAATCAAAATTCGGCTCAAAATCATGGAATTTGAGTTGCAGGCATTTTTAGCTTCCTCAGCTTCTCCTACAACTATTTCATGGCATAAGAACCTCCCAAAAACCGTATTTTTCCCATACCGGGCATTTTTGTAACCGCCATTTCCTCATAAAGTCAGTATTTTATTTTTCTTTATCGGCCGTTTTCTCAAAATGCGACTTTTCTCTATACTTTTTTAAAATAACTCCACCATTTTTCAACCAATCTTCATGAAATTTTCACAGAGTGAAGAGAAGAGGTAATACTAAAAACTTGTTTGTTGAAATATTGATATATGGAATAGATTTTTGTTGGTGGTGTCTGGAGTGTTGATTTTCACGGATTTTTCGCAAACTTGAATGCTACCTCAGGAAAAAATTCATTAAAAATTTTCTAATTCGATTAGGAAAAAAACAACAGACAAATATTTAGATCTAATCTTTGTGAACACGCATGCAAAAAAACCCAATCAATTTCCATGAGCGGTAAGTGCAGCATTCATTACGTCAGACATGTCAATAAAATCCAATATGGCGGCGTATCCATGGAAACTAAACTTTTTTATCAAATTTGATTGCGGATTTTAAGACTCCTTACTATGCTTGTTATATGTGTGAAATTTGGTAAAATTCGGTCAAGTAATAAGCGAGATAGCCTCCAGGTGTAGCCCCCCCCCCTTAAGGAATTTTCTAGAACACAGCTACCTGGTGTTTCCAAAAATATTGATCTGTTAAGACAAATTGAACCAAGTCCATGTGCATGTGCAAAAGCTGGAGAGTCTATGTGTAATATTTTAGGAAATATTTGACAGTTCGTTGCGCCACGAATTTTTGACCGCACAGTTAAGTCTATACTTTACTTAGAGCAGGTTAGAAGGCAAATGTAGTCCGCGGAGTAGTTTATGCAAATATTGATTACAGCTTATTATATTTCAAGCGTAAGATATCCTCTTTTAAAATTTCACGTTTGTTATATAAGGATTTATTTCACCGAAAGTGCGTGGTTAGGCTACCGGACTCGTAATTGTGAGATTGCGGATTCGGGGGCTCGAGCCTCAGCTCGGTCCGACGTTGTGTACTTGGGAAAGGCACTTTGCACAAATTTCCCACTTGGCTCGGTCCTTTCGGAGACGGACGTTAAACTAGGAGGCCCCGCCTCTTTAATAACCTAATAGTGTTAATAGAGACTTTAAACCAATACCATTTCATTTTTTTTCACCGAAAGTGAAGTATTAAAAACAACTCCCTGAGTGTGGTATAAAAATGCAGTTTCTTGTTCTTTCACCTCTTGAGTAAATGTCTTTGTTTGTTAGAATCAAAATACAACTCTTTGTTTCGTCTGGATTTTTCCACGTGTGCTCATTACCACAAATGATTTTTTTCTTTGCAGCTAAATGCTATCTTAGGTCGACCTTAAGGAAACTGCAGAAAGGTACGCCAAGGTTTTTTCAATAAACTGCCACGGTGGCAATGAGAAACACAGCCCTTGTTTGAACATCGATTTGGCCAAACGTCATCATTTTTTGTTGTCATTTGCCTAAAATTTTCGAATCGTGTTGACAGTCTCTTTCGCACTGAATAGTTGGTGATTTGTGTTGCTTTGTCGGAGTTTTCTTATTTTTAAAAATGTGTTTTAATGATAAGAAATAAACTGTATGCTTTTTTCTATATTATACAATGTTAGTCTAGCGAACATGATATCATTCTAAAACAATACACACTGAGCAAAAACATCCAGTACAAATTAAACGTTAGGATGAATGGTCTTTTGTAACAACTCCTTGAGGACGTAAACAGTTCTGCCGAAGAAGAGCCAAACAAATAGCTAAAATAATTACTCTCAACTTTATACAGTTGAACCTGCCCTGACGGCCACCTCTATAAGACGGTCACTTGTACAAATGGCCACTTTCCATTTCCCCCCTTGTGTTTTTTCTATAAAGTTTAACTGTTTAAAACGGGCTCCTGTCCAACGCGGCCGCGGCCACCATATTATTTTAACACACAACCTTTATCACACCAAGCAATGACACCTGTCTTAGACGGCCACCTTAGTGTAGTGACTCCATTACGTTTTGTCATAAATTGTGCATTGGCCCCTAGCGTTGAGGGCGAGCCGTCATAATTCAATCACCTGTCGTTGTTAGGTAGTCCCTCCAACTGATCATGTTGCGTAGGCCTCTCCCACTGTTGACCAATTGGTAACACATTTTCAGCTGCAATTGAGGTGAGCGTGTGACCCCTCATAAACTATAAGCCCCGCCCAGAACTCATACACAAATCGTAAGTGAGATGAGTGGTCACTGTTTACCCAGGCTGTAACAAAGTAACAAAGGACGTTAACATGAACTTGTGACAGAAGCGTCGCTCGTTCTCCGAGTGGTGGCGACCCATCTGTTTGTTTTACCAAAGCACTCGGTCCTCCCTGTCTCACAGATTTCGTTTTATTGTCACCCTTGTACAAATGCAGCAACAAAGGGGAAAAAAGAAGAAAAAACACAGCAAAAACAACAACAATAACAACAACAATAACAACAACAACAATGCGGCTATCATCGGTTGGGACCTCTGAAAGGAAGGGTTTGTTTTCTTCATCTTGATCAGTCCTGCCTAAGACAGCCATCTGTCTTATACGGCCACTTTTCTCCTTGACAATGGGTGGCCGTCTTACACAGGTTCGACTGTAATTACTCTTAAAAGTATTATGATTTGCTTTTGCCGATTACTCAAACGCTCAAGCGACCATTGGAGCTCGTTGAGTGGCGTTGATTAACGTGATTCAAACGCCTAGACGCCGTCATACTATCACTTAGGCGGTTGAATCACGCAGATTTTGGTATTCTGAACCGCCTATGTCCAGTAACTTACGCAAGAAAGCTTTTTCCAAAGACGTTAGTTACAGACCATCGTCTTACATCATATCATATATGTGAATTTCAGATTCATAGGTACGTGCATAAAGAAATAAAAGTTTTTTGCATATCCTGAAAAATTTGTCTCTTATATATATATTACAACATTTATTTGATATGCAATATATATCTATTCCAAAAATACGCCAGCTGACCCACTTTTAAGATTCTTTTGATTTTGCACAATTTTGCCTAATCTGACTTTTAAGGTTACTTTTGAGTGACCGTATCTCTGGCGACTGCTATGATCAATGAATTATTAATGTGCCAAATGATGCAGAATTTATTCAGCTTTCAATTTGTTTGCTACATGAGTGGGTAGTGCAAGATCTTAACACAATGATTGTATGAAAACATTTTCGAGTTTCTTTGGGCGCCACTATAAACCTTTTTGCTTCCTTCCCAACTACGACTCATTAGATTACCTTGAATTTAAATTAATTGTTTAAAATGTTAACACTTTTGTCTTCTCATTTCAAAATTCGAACCTCCCTGCAAAGAGTCTTCATATTTTCAGAAATAAAACTGACTTGCAATAAGAACTTTTTAGATTCTTCTCCCCATTATCTGACCTATCCAAGGCTCTGTACGTCTGTGAACTCACACTTACTCAAACCTGATCGTCCGTCCGCCCCCTACACACAATGGGACATCAGCTAAATTCTCCATTTCTCTCCCCACATATAACAAGGTGTCTGCTAAATTCGCAATTTCCTTCCAAGCTTACAAATTGTTATTTTTCACAACGATTGTTCATTTCTATCAGTCTGTAATTTTACAGATGTATTTAGAAGAGAGAATGTGTGAGAGAATATTATGTGCGTGCAAGTGGGCGCCCTCGCGAGTGTTTGTGTTTGTGTGTGTGTGTGTGTGTGTGTGTGTGTGTGTGTGTGTGTGAGTGTGTGTGCGTGCATGCGTGCATGTATGCGTGTGCGCGTGTGTGCGTGTGTGCGTGTATGCGTGTGTGTGTGTGTTTGTGTGTGTGTGTGTGTGTGTGTGTGTCTTGTGTTTGCGTGTATACCCTACACATGTGCCATCATCTGGATAATAAACATTTAGTTTATCTTATCATATATTTACATTACTGAGATTTTTCGGTCATTATCAAAAAGACAACATTTTCCTCAGAAGGTAATGATTTATTTTTCTTAGAAATGATCATTATAAAGAGACATTTTCTTAAAGTATCCAAAAAGCTATTCTACCTCCTAGTTCCAAAACGTTTTCATAAACACTGCTCGATATTTCGAACTCATTTTCAGATACACAAATATATTCACACTAGAGTTGATAGTTTCGGTTAGGAATGACAAAAAACAAAGGACAAGAAAAAGATTTCGATAGGAACCATCATGATGGAAACTTGGGTCAATCACAATGTAGAGAAAAAAGAGCGTGGAAGGAACAGCGCAGATGATGTAAATGACAGCGATGAAGGTCACCATTTTCATAACCTTTTGATCTTTGACCCCAACACCTCCCGCTGCGCGATCAGACTTGGCTGCAGTGGCCTGTCGCCATTTTGTTTTACTTTTGAGTTTGACGACAAGAACAATGGTACAGCAGACGACGAAGACGAAGGAAAACGTCGTAGCTATTACGTCTTGGATGAGAAGGGTAATGGCTTCTAGAATGTCTCTCTCAGCCGTGTACGTGGCTTTTAGCACAGTAGCATTTAAGGTTAAATCGTAAACCCACTCAAGTCTGTTTCCAAGGCAGAAGGGGATCATCAAAACAGCCATGGCAATGTAGATGGAGATAATAATTGTCTTTGTCCTTCTCGGTGTGATGATCGTCTTCACCTTCAGAGGGACAGCGATACACAGACATCGTTCAAAGGTGATGAAGGCGGTGATAAACGTGGCGATTTTGACTAAGAGGACATGGGGCACGGCCCCAGTGAGGTTCAAGATATCCCTGGGGTCAAAGGGCAACTCAGAGTTGTAAAAGAGTGGGTTCCAGCAGATGCTTAGCCATATCATGGACAGCAGGGAGCACAGGTCAGCCACAGCGAGCCCTGAAATGATAAACACTCTACAAGATGGAAAAATGCAATACACAATCATGACCCCCACCCCATATCCCCACCCCTTGTAGGTTAACTGACACGACTGTGGAAACCCTCTGACATAAAAAGAGTTTAACCAAGCTTAAGTGAAATTTCATTCTATTTCTTCTTCAGCAAATCATCATCATCATGAAGTGCCAGATTTGCATCAGACATCAGCGATCAGGGTTCTGTATTCATTCCTTTCTTCTGATGACCTCCAAAAAGCTACAATCCTGATCTTTCCCCATCATCAATTTGTTTAAGCTCTCCAAGTAGGTTGGTCTGGATCTACGCCTGTCTCGCTTCCCTTCAATTTTGCAAGTGAGAGTTAGATGTTCGAGACCTTTGTGTCTATTTAAGTGTTCCAGAAACTGCATTTGTCCTCATTCTCAGCAGTCTCCTAAAAAAACACATTTCTGTCACTTTTATTTCATTTTCACTGTCTTTAAGGATTGTCCAGCATTCACAGCCATATAGAAGGGTTGAGCACACATAGCATTCCAGAATTAGTATTTTTGTAATCATTGAGATCTTTTCAATTTCCCTGGATTGGGTTAATTTAATTGAAACTATCTGTTGTTTTGTTCTTTTTCTTTTCATTTCTGTGTAACGTTTGGTCTCATATGTAATTATATATCCTAGATATCTAAATTGCTGAACGTGTTTGATTTTTCTGCTTTTGCTCATGCGATTGAAAGTAGGATATACCGCTTTTTAAATATTACCATGCATTCTGTTTTCTTCCATATCTCACAATAGCCCTCCTCCATACAATAAAAAGTACGCTACCAAAAGCCACTAATTTTCCCGACGTCCTGACATCATGTCTAAGAAAAAGACAAGCTGGGACCTGCGACCAGGAAAAAAGACCCGTTTTGCTTGAAGAAAGCGTCATCCTGCTTCATGATAAGGCGCATGTTCACAAGTCCAGAGTTGTAAACGAGCTTCTTGAGGGCTACTAGTGGGTATTATCGGGACACCCGCCCTATTTGCCCGATCTCGCCCAATGCAACTTTCACCTCTTCCCCAAGGTGAAAGAAATGCTGCAATATCGGAGATTTGATTACGAGGACCGGATTCAAGAGGCTAAGAGAAAAGCACTCAGGACCTTGGACAAACGATCACTGACCACTGTTTTTGACCGCTGGGTGCATCAAATGGAGAAATGTCTTGAACCTGATGGTTCCTACATTGAATAGGTATTTGAATAAGCTTTCTGTTGATGCCAAATATAAGGTGATTTATAATTATTTGTGAGGACAGCATGACAGGGAAACTTTATTCTGAGACAGATCTCGTATATTTCAACATTTTGTCTGTTATATTCAACTCACTTATGTGTGTTATGTTCTATTCCATAACCGTTTGATAGACAAATTTGGTTATTTGTTTGCAACTGTACTGTAGATATGATAATTGCCATCTCACCCATGAGGCTGATGTTCATGCTGTCCTGAAAGCCTTGCTTGGCAAACACCACAATGTTGATGATGTTGGAGGCCACGCCGAACAGACTGAGAAGGCCACAGATGACCACTGCAATGACCACTTGGACAATGTACCACTGCTCGTCGCTTACGATTTTTGCATTATCTGAACCAGATGGTGATGGCGTTGTCTTTGGTATGCTCATTTTCTGGTCGCAAGAGTAAGTTGAGTTGCCCCCCCACAAAAGTGAAATTGACATTCTGGGGGGGGGGGGGGGGGGGATGTGTTGGACATCGACACCACAGTTACTTTAGTGCTAAGATCCTCCCCTATTTCAGGCACAGACCGTTATTTATATGCTCAGTACAAAAGAAACCAGGACTTAATCAACGAACAGAAAAATGATCATTTAACAACGTTCTTTCTTTGTGTTCTAGCATTGCACTTTGACATCATGTTAGCTAGTTTTGATTAAGATATCGTTTATATTATTAAAATTGTATAACAAGAATATATTACTTGTTAAGATATCTGTGTCATATAATTATATTGATTTGTTTAGTAGTACCGACAATCAGGGCTGACAGTCTATTACAACCAATGTTCTCATTATTTGAGCAAACATTCAGCATATCATTATAAAAATCTGAATGTCACAGTCATCGTTGTGACAATATCGACCCTCAATCAATAGGAGTAAATGTCTTCGTTTGTCAGATTCAAAATGCAACTCTTATTTTCGTCTGCCCCCGTGTGCTCATTACCACAACCGATTTTTTGAAATATATCTTGTTATAGGTCGACTGGTAGGTAACTGGAGACGGGTGAGTACCATTTTTTGTCAGCCAATTACAAGTCGGCACACATTCGAAATTTGAAAAGACAGAGCTTGATTGATCATCGGTTTGAACTCACTTTTTCTTTAATAATAATAATAATAATAATAGATAGCATTTGTATAGCGCATATCCCCGCTCAACAGCAGGCTCTATGCACTTTACACTATATTATTACCCCAGCAGACCATAGAACACTCCGAAACATTCTAAGCTTCCCGAGAAGCATACAGTGCAAGCAGCTGATTAAGCGCTCAAACACTAACAAACTGACAAGATCTTTCGCTGTCTATAGCCGGGTACCCATTCCCACCTGGGTGAAGTGAGGAAAATTCGTGTAAAGTGCCTTTCCCAAGGACACAATGTTGGGCCCCTGACGGGATTCGAACCCGTGACCTTACGGTTGCGAGTCCGAGAGACTAACTACTAGGCCACCGACGCCACATATTCATATATTTGCCTAGAATTGACAATTTCACTAGTGTGAACAGTCTCTCACTCTCTGTATCTTTGGGAGTTTGTCACCCATGGACACAATCTATTTAGATCATATAGGAGGCGGGTTTCAACTCTGCCTGTCAAGGCCTACCCGGGCTGAGAGGAATACAATGTCACTGCAGAAAGACCGAGATACGTGATAACAAATCCTCTTCACCCTGGACTCGAACACGTGTCTTCTACGTGCGATGGTGAGCGCCATGACGTCATACTACAGACGCCGGTGACGTTTCTGTGTATTGCGAAAGGAAGGAAACTTTGTCTAAATACACCGATGAAAGGGTGGGAACCATGCATAATATGAGAGGTAAAATTAACAACTGCAACATAAAACCGATCAGGTGACGGGACTAGTTTTGTACCAAGGCTCAGTTGCATTTTCAGATTTTCGCGAAAATGTCAAAAAATATGATTCTGATAACGACGACTACTTGTGGAAAGAAAGTTTTATTTGCAAGAAATTTACAACATTTTTAGCTTACTGAAAGTTTAGTATCTCCGGCAGAAAAGGAAAAAAAACCCTCAATAAATTATTTTTCTTTTTTGGCATTCAATACCAAGGTTAAGTCCATACCTAACGTTCCCTTAGACCTGGTGTTTTATTTGATTGGAAAGGGGGAAACACCCAAGGACGTTCAACACTGGGGTTAAGTCCAAGTTAGCAAACATAGTCATCAGCGTTGTTTTCATTCACAACAGACTGGAGACTTTCTTAGAAGTGTCTGGCATTTGTGGGAATGATCTTCTTACTGCAGAGTTCCATCAAATCCTTCATCTTTGCTTCCTTACCACAGGAGTTTGTTGTATTGATGTGTTTTCTGCTGTGGGAACAGATCGAATCCCATGTTTGAACAATGCCACTTTCTTCCACGGTTCCACTTAACTGACAGTGTACCGGCACCAAACTTCTGTTGGGTGAGGTACAAGTGTTAAATAGAGTCTGTACTGTCTGGCCCTTCGCTTTGTCCAAAAGAGAACCAGTGGACATTGCTGAAATTTACTATCAGAGGTGTCTTTGAAAATAGACTTGGCATCTGAAGGCATCCATTAGCACATTTCATTAAGTCCAAAATGTCTTTCCGCTGAATGGAATTCACAGTGAAAAGGTGAAATTTTCTACTTTCTAGGATTGCTTTCACCAGTGAGAATCATGGCTCTCTCCAGATTTTCCGCTTTCCCTATATGCCCAAAATCCCCATCGTTGGGTAAGAAAATGAGACTTCTGTACAGGAAAGTGTGATAGACTGTTTCATACATGTTTCTTTTCGATGAGTAATTGAAAGAAAATTATCATTCCTTTATTCCTATTCTGTCCAGGACATCCGTCTTTGAACAAAATTAAATGTGAGGCATCGTGGTGGAATCCGGATCTCGTCAAAATAATCAAAGTGAAGAAACTTGCATTTTTCTGCAGGTTTGTGAATTTTTATCAAATTTTTGGCCCAGGAGCAATTTTTTTACTAATTTTCTTTTTGTTTTGACTTAGCACTTTTTATATCCGTTTAAAAACACATTTTTTGTGGGGATTTTACTGAAAAGCATTGATTAAAGGCACAAAAAATGTAAGTTTTCAGTTACCACGGACTCTTAAGCTAGGAAATACCTAATCTTTGGCGTCCATTTTCTCACTAATTTTACCTCTGTAAACAGGTGACCACCACCTCCTTCATTCGCAAATATCTCGACATGTATTCAAGATAAATGGATGTTTTTTTCATACAAATAAAGACAAGTGAACAAGCTTTGAGATGACACCAATAACTCTACAAGTCCCAAAATTGACAAGAGCCTGATTCCACCACGCTGCCTCACAATTTATCGACAGCTGAGCGCAAGATAAACTGTATCTACTTTTCACAGTTTTGCGAAAAAAAACGAGTTTCAAATTTTGACGATTTTGAAATCTCTAGAACACAGTCACAAAAAACCAGTTAAAATCTCGAAACCGAATCAAGCTACGGCGTAGACATCTACAGAGCTAAAAGAGCGGCTTAAAATCTCACTACCCATATCGATTACTCCATTTCAATCAAAGGTGGATATAGTCACTTTTTGCGCTCAGCCATCAATGTATTGAGAAATACATGTATAATGATTAGATATATCTTTATTCTCCAGATACTGGCTCACTGGTTTGGTGTTTCACCACACACACACACACACACACACACACACACACACACACACACACATGTACACACACACGGATACGAACGCCCATATGCACACCCATACACACACATTCTCTTCTCTCACACACCCTCTCTTCCACACACATCTGTGCACTTAACCATAATAACATAATAGTAATAGTATGATTGCCCTTAAAAACATTCTCACATTCACATAGATAAAATAAATGAACAGTAATAGTATGAACCATAATAATTGTAGTAGGCACATTACAGGGTTAATGATCAACGAACATATTATATTTATTAGACTACTCTTATCACTATTTTAAAT